GCCTCTCTTGCTGCTCTTTGTGACTTTATGAAAAACATTTTAATATATTCGGTAACATAGTAATATTTTATACTTACTTTGCATCTAGTGAGTTAAGTTACCTAATCTGGTAATAGTATTTACACAGAAGCTAGGAAAAGCATTAATCATAGCAAATTAGGTCACCTACAAAAACACAGAAACATATTTTTAAACTTTTACCATTAATTTTACAAAGGTTTTAAAAATACTCATCTAGCCACTTAATAATTATATACAATATGAAGGCTTTGTGAGTAAAAATGCAATAGAAATACAAATATTGGAGCTGAAAGTTGCAGCTTAATTGGAACACACGCCTAGCATGTGCACGGCGCTGGGTTTGATCCCCAGCACTGAAAACAGAAAAGCAAAGAATTGATTCAATTCAGTGTAGTTTTCTAAAAATACTAATCCTCAATTCACAAGGGAAAAAAACCCACATATTTTCTGCAGTTTTTTAGATTCAAGTCAATTTTTAAAGGGATCATTACATGTTATTTATGAAAGCTGTATTACAAAGACATAAGGCAAGTCAGCAGTAGTATTGCTGTGTTATAGAAAACTCAAACTTCGATTCTTATGTTTTTTTTAGTTTAGTATCTTCATTAAGACTATGAATTTTAGGCATTTTGCCTCCTAAAATGTGAAAAGCTGACAAGTTCAATTACAGTGTTTAATGATCAAATGGACTGGTAATGGTGGTGGCATGTACATTAAACTATGTGCTTGAGAAAAAGATAGTTTAACTTAAACTATAATGCTGCTACATACATAATTAACTCCTATTTATCAACTGGTATAGTGTTACTGAGTAGCACAGGACATAGAACACCACAAGGGAAATGATCTAAGACTTAAAAGTCAGAATCTCAGTAGATGTAAAAGAAACCGATGACAGACTCAGAATATACTGGAAGTTCTTAAAATTTCAATTAACCTTTTCATTGAAGTCCTTTTTTGTTTTGTTTTTAATTTTTGGCCTATCATTTCAAAAATAAATTAGTCATCAGTTCAATAAAAAATATAATTTTAAAAGTCACTTTCTTTCAAACTATTTTCTAAGCTGTAAAGCATAATAAGAAACACCCTTTATCTTTTGACCCAAAGCATACCTGCAGGTGTGCTTTCCTACACACACACACACACACACACACACACACACACACACACACACACAAATATATATATCTTTTTGAGACAAGGTCTCCCTGTAGCCACAACTGGCCTGGAATTCTGGAATTCACTATGTAAATTGGGCTGGCCTCAGTCACAGAGATCTGTCTGTCTCTGCCTCTTGAGTGCTGGGATTAAAGACATGTACCACCATGCCCGGCTTATTCACATATTTTTGAACATAGGCATATTAATAAACATGTTCACAAAATAATACCTACTCATATTTTAAAAATAATACCTTAAATATTCTGTTTTATTCTGCACAATATTATTTCCATTTTTAAGTATACTAGCTACATAGAAGAGTAAAAAAATTCCAAAACAACAACAAAAAAATGATTTTTTTAAAGAAATGGGGGTCACAGAATCAATCACTAAACGGTGTATACATGGGCTGAATTATTATAATGTCCTCCATAAAGATGTACAGATATTATATTTCATTTAAAAATAAAATTAATCACTATCTTTAAGCCATTAAACTGATTTCAGAATCAACTAAGTGGATCACAGACTGCAACTTAGTGATATTGATCCCCTTGCCCCCAACTAACTATAGGAATTTTAAAATGATCACTGGTGATGGCTACTTTCTAGTGATGTTAGGGGAGAGGCCACAGGAAAGATACAATGTATTTCTCTTTCCTTTTCTTTCTCTAGACCAAGACTCTGTGGCAGCCACTGCTTCAGTGCGGAGACCAGGTCACTGAGCTCGATTTCAGTTTCTGCAGCCCTTTGATTAGAACTGTTGTCTCCACAGGTGAACTGTGACCACTCCCTAATTCTACAGAACTTCTAAATTTGTATTAGGAATCTCTTAGAACTAGCAAATACCAAGAGTGGATTCTAAGGGATTTTTCTTTGTTCTTTGAAATAACATACATCTAGGTAGGGTGTAATAAAAGAATGAGAGGCTGAGAAATAGTTCATTAAACTTATGAAATAATGTAAAATAATGTTCAGCCAATAGCAAAGCATTCAATGCCTACTTGTAGAGTCTACAACTAAGGTAACAACATGATCTCAAAAAATATTTCTGATTTGAGCTAAGGATTATGATGCCATTTAATTATGGTATCACAACAGGAAAATATTTTGTTTGAAAGTAATGTTTACAAAGTTATACAATGTTTTACCATATTATAATTTTTCTCATATTAAATTTACTATTGCTTTTATAAAAACATCATGTTTTAAATACTACACCGGATTACAACTATTATTGGCTCACTTACGTATTCTAACTTCTTGGACTAAGAGGAGAAATCATTCCACCACCCTCTTGTGGTAATTTTGATGTACTGCATTTGCCAGGAATTCTCTAACTGGAATTCTTTCACTTGAAGGGGGAAGACTATTTTGACCATAAATTTTTAAACAACCCAAATCATCAGCTATGCTTTCTGTTTTAGTTTCAACCTCAGGATTCAAGCTGTTCTTATTATTTTATAAAACATTCTCCAGTTACCTTCCAATTATCACATCAAAGTTTGCTCTTTTTTCCTCAAAGTTACTTTGCGATTAAATGGAAAATGATTTCTGGGAGTCCCTGTCATCATACATGACCTTGAAGCAATGGAAATGATCTAAAATGACTAAGCTTTTCCACAAGTTTCCTCCCAAAAGAATAGGAGTGGCTAAATCAATGATCTAGAAGCTTCAGAGCTCAACATTAGTCTGAGTGTTTTGTTTTTAGAAATAATAAACAGTCTTCCTTTAAAAGAAGTCTACATATATGTAATGACCAACTTCTTGCCCCAACAACACAGATAACGCCATCTCTATAGTTTCCACATTGGCAGCTTCCATCAACAATGACTGAAAATATCTGAAAAAAGGTGTGTTAATATAAGGACTTCTTTCCCTAGTCGCCTCTTCTGAACAATACAACAACTACTTACATATCACTTACATATAGTGGTAAAAGGAATCTAGCAACAGTCTTTATTGGATACTAAGAGATAAATGTACTTGCAGCTTCTCTGTAGAACAGACAATATGTAACACATACCACTATGGCCTAAAGTGCATAAATAACAGAATGATGAGCGTCTAAACCAAGGCAATGGCTCTCATGACAAAGATGAGAAAACACTTGAGAAATACTAATACATTTGGTATTAGGTATTGTGAGAATGAGGCTGGTGACTGGAGTATATGTGCTATTCTTAAGGAAGGGAATCACATTTCCAGATAGGCTGCATTTGAAGTGTCACCAGGACACAATGAACAGATCAACAGGTTTTAAGATATTAGAGATCATCAGACACAGGTTTTGCAAATTATCAATGACAAGGTAGTACAATGAACTTAGATGACATATCATCCAGAAAAAGGGTAAATAGTGAGAAGAAGCAGCTGAGTTCAGGGTTGGTATCATTTAAGTATAGCTCCATCTTCCCTTTAACAGAAGTCAATCTTGAGACTTAATCCTCAGGTACCATTTTCCAGGTTGGCCTAGCAGTCAGTACGCAGGCTAGGATGGCTGGCTAGCAAGCCCCAGGGACCCTCCTGTTTCTGTCTCCCCAGCACTGGAATTACAGGCACACAGCACAGTGCAAGATTTTTTACGTGGACTCTGGGGATCAAACTGGTCTTCATGCTTGTGTGGCAAGCACTTCATCAACTGAGCAATTTCCCTAGCCCTAACAAAGCTACTCTTATCATATAATCATAAATTTTGTTTATGTGGGAGAAATAGTAAATGATTTAATCTCCCTGTATTTTGTATATCAGAAAACTGATGATCAAAGAGGCCAGCTAACTTTATTTGAAGAATTCAGGTTTCTAGACTGAGCCTGAGGTATTACACATAACCATTTAATTCTCTTTCTAATATCTGTCCTCTTAACCCTTATATTTTATTATTCTTTAGAGAACAAGAATTAAAAGACTGACCCAGAATACTTTTATGGCAATTATTACATTTTAGATATAAATGGCCCCCAAACCTCATGAGTTGAAAACATGATTCCCAGCTGGTGCTACTATGGAGAGGTGACTGGATTCCCAAGGGCTCTAACTGCATCAGTGGATCAACCCAATGACGAATCAATAGCTGACTGGACTACTGAGAGGTGAGGCTTTGCTACAGGAAGTAGGGTACAAGTGGCATGTCTCTGAAGGATGCAACTCATTCTTGGCCCCTTCCCAACTCATTGCTTCACGGCTATTGATAAGGTGAGCAGATTTCCTCCATGTCCCTATACCATGAAGCTTCTTCTTTGCCACAGGCTTGAAAGCAATGGAACCAGCTGACCATGGACTGAAACTCCTGAAACCATGACCCAAAATAATTCCTTCTTCTCTTAAATGTACTGGAACAGGTGATGAAAAAAACTGTCTACTAGCAATAGATGCTTCTTTCTCTGTGTTCATATCATCAAAATCAAAAGGTTCTATTACTAAGGATAACCTTCCAATAACAGTTCTTAAAATTCCAAACTTAGAATTCAAAGCATGGTGAACAAGGAAAGGCCAATTCTACAATGACAAATAGCAAAGGGCATTTGTATCAGGTACAGAGAACGTTGGCGAGACACTTTGAAAAACAAAGACATCCTCACCATATTAACAGAGCTTTCTAAATTTTAAATGGTTAAGCGATGTCTATCATACATCTCAGAACATGTTTTCATAATTTCACTTAAAGAAAGCTGAGGGGGGGAAGGGGG